TTCATAAAACTTCTGTGATAGTGGCTATGTTCTATATGTGCACTGCCCTATATGGTAGCCACCAGCTACATGAAATTAAACTGTGACTAGGATGACTGAGAAACTGAATTGTTAATACTAGTTAATTTACATTTAATAAGCACATGTGGCTCATGGCTACATATAGAGCAAAGCATACATAGATAGTACTTAAAGCAATGTGAGTGGATGAGAACCCTAAACGAGTGAATGTAGGCAGAGAATATGTCCAAAGATTGGGCACTGGGGCACACCAACAACATAGGTTATTTGTGACAGGAAAACAAAAAATAAACAACTCAAAACTCCATCAACAACAGCAAAACAACAGCAACTCCATCAACAACAGCCACAATGTCTTATGTGGTATATTCACATGAGACAGCTGGTCAGTTGTGAATGCACAGGTGTGCATATACCTATGCATTCACAACTATTCATTCACCTCTATGAATGAATCTCAAAAATAATGCTAAATGAAAAAAAGTAACTTAGAGAAGAAAATCATAACTATCAAAAGCAGACAAAACTAAGCAATATATGTTTAAGAATATATTCAAATTGATAGAACTATAAAAAAATCAAGGGAATTATATCCGAATATAGGATAACATCACCTCTCCAGTGGAAAGAGAAGGTTGCAATCAGGAGGGGAGCACAGAGGGCTTCAAAGTTACTGGAAATGTTCTAATTCCTAAACTAGATGGTGGGTATACAGGTATCCATTTTGTTATTCTCCTTTGTCCTATAGACTCTGGCATGTATACTATTAAATAACTACAATAGAAAAAAATATATATACAAGGCAGTACATGGTTAAATTTCAAATGGATGTTTCAAAATCTCTTCAAATCATTATGTTAAAAAAAGGAAAGATAACTGTACGGCTTATATAAGGTCTAAAAAGACAGATCTAGTCATATTAAGAAAGGAGGGAAGGACATTCCGGAATTGGGAATGAACAGGTCACATATAAGAAACAGTAAATTAGTGAGCCTGACTGGAAAAGAAGAAAGTTAGGTTGAGAAGACAGGCAAGGGCCAACCCCCGAGTTGCTTAAATACTGGGTCAAGATGTTTGGACTTGATCTAGAAATAGTAGAGAATCACTGGTGGTATCTAAGCAACACAATGGCATGGGGAAAGTGGTATATTAGTAGGAGTAATCTGATAATTAGGATTAAACAGTAGGAAGACAGAAGGCGGGAAAAATCAGTTATAAAACTTACAGATGTGAGATATCAGAGAAAATTATCATGGCCTAAACTAGGTGATGAAAGATCAAGTTTACCCCAAGAAACTTTAGGATGAAAGACTCAAGAGTCTGGTCCTGGGAAAGGCAAAGAGGGAAAAAGAGAGAGATTAAAAGTTTATATCAATTTTCGAGCTGAACTAAGAAAATGATAACATAACATATGCAAAGTTAGGGAAGTCAATAGAAAGCTGATTTTGAAGGCAGACCATTCATTCAACACTTATCTGTCAGGCAGAGTGTAATATCTTCCCCTCAGGGAGCAGCTTGTGAGTCCCACTTTTGTTTTTTTTTTAAACAGTTATATACTTTTAATAGGCAAAGAGAAACTATATAATTCTTTGGGAGTGGGAGGAATAAAAGCTTTTATAGTTTTTAACTCTAAGAATTTTTAAGTTCCACTTTCAAAAGAAGAAAGTGTAGTGATAAAAATACTAAGTTGCTTTTCAAAATAAATTGAAAGAAGGAACAGGATACAAAGTAGAGATGTTTGGTAAAAGATCAGAGGTAAAGGAGGGAAAATTACTCATTTTTGGACTGAAAGCTCTTTAAGGACAAAATCTATGACTGACTGTCTTTGCACCCCCACCATGCTGAGCACAGGGAGTGCTCACTGCACAATAGACATGCAAATAATGGATTAGCAAATGAGTGAGCAGGACAGACTGAAGATAAGCCAATTACGAATACCCCACCCTAGCCTTCAGAACCAAAACTACCTGCAGGATCTACCCCTATGGAAGGAGAGTGCTTTAGCCTCCTCATCCTGGCTAACAAGAAGGCTGATCCTCTAGGAGGAGGATTTTAGGAGATCTAAAATACCAACAGAAAAACAGAAAGAAAACCAATTCTTATGAAAACATACACTGACTTTCTGCTCCCCACACTACTCCCTGGGGAGATGCTCCTCAACCATTTAAGGCAGACAGATGGAACATAACTTTTTACAGTGTGTGGACTGGACTAATAATGCTAATTTAAAATACTCATTTTTCTGGTTAAAAGTATTTTTAAGTATTTGAAAAGCCTGAATTTTAATAGCTAGTTGATTTTCTTTCACGCCAATGTTACCTAAGCCTGGAGAATAGAGAAATGCATAGTAGAGCTGAATGCAAAGTGAGCTGACTGATACCCAGGAGTTTCAAGTGATTGTCAGAGACTGGGCTATTACCTCCAGATTCTCCAATAATTCAGATTAATTCCACACAGCTCAAACTTATCCAATTTGGTTGAACAGAGGACAACGATGCTGCTTCTCAAGTGAATTGATCATATACAAATGCTTTTAAGATCATCTCCTTCTCAAAAGGTAAGAAGACATTAATGCTGTAACACTGGTAAACGTAGTTTAAAAGCTCAGGCTCTGGCACCAGACAGACACAGGTTAAATCCCACCTCTTCCAATAAACAGCTATGTACCCATCTCCCTTAATACAGTCTTCCGACCATGTAAGGTTGATTACCTTCCTTAAGATATAAATATGTGGTAGCTTCAGATGTTGGTACTTTCTTTCCTAATATTACACCCTGGCCCTGATTGGTGTAGCTCAGTGGATTGGGTGTCCTCCTGAAAACTGAAACAGTTCGATTCCTGGTCAGGGCACATGCCTGGGTTGGGGGCCAGGACCCCTGTTGGGGGCGAGAAAGAGACAATTGATGATTCTCTTACACATGGATGTTTCTCTCCCTCCCTTCCCCTTTCTCTAAAAATAAATAACTAAATTCTTGAAAAAAAACCCAAAACCCTACACCGATCCTTGATTAGACCTGTATTTTCCTTGATAGCCTCGGCCATTAGTTTTTAGTGTAGAACATTCTAGATGGTTAATATCACTCATTATTATGCTTTGAATCTCCTGAATGTCTCTCTTTGAGAACAACATTATCTTGAAGCTCTGGTTGCCCAATCCATGCTCTGGACTTCACCAATGAAAGTGAAGAGCAGTGGGAGAGAACCATAGAGAAAAATCGAACTGTAGGTAGAACACACAGACCTTTTTAGTTGTGAAAAATTTTAAATTGATGCTTTTTTTTGAAATCACAAATTCTGTACACTGGAATCAATATGAAGCTAAACACAGCCTATTAGCAACAAATTAAGAACAAAAAATTGTTCTGACCTAAAGGAGGCCCAGGGACATGCTCTGCCTAGGCTTACCACCAATTTCTTAAGCTCATGGATGTTTTTGCATGTTGTGGCAGATGTAGCAGGGAAATATAGGAAGAAATATAAGTCCCACAGATCCTTCATTTGCATTAAGCCTTCTTAGTACAATTACTGCCATCCCCATCCAGGCAGTAAAGACTGAATCCCAACCCTTTCTCCGCCTCAGGTCTCTCCACTCCCTTGCACCCTGCACACAGCCACCAAACTAATTTCCTTAACTACCCATTTCATTACATTACTTCCCACCTCAAAAACACTTAATGACTCTACCTTCTATTCACTGGAGAAAGCCCAAGTAAAATCCATAAGCCCAGGCTAGCACATTATCCTATTTTTATAATTCAGAATTGTTTCCTCTTAATTCCCCCACAGAAATTCTCTAAGGCTCCAACTACATTAATCTGTTCACTGTCCCTCCAGCAAACAGACTAATCTGCACACCTGGGCTGGATTACAACCACCCCTGACCATCATCCTCTACCCACTCCTGCCTTTCCTTCAAAGGTCAGCCCAGACCCCCTCCTCTAACTGCCCTGCACGGTGCTCCTAAAGCACATACTGCCCCTACGGTCCACCTTTTGACTCTTCGAACATCCTGTTTGGTTAGCTATACACTCCTGAGAGCTCAATCTGTTCCACCCAGGACCAAGTTCCTTGGAGGCAGACCACATACACAGAGGGTCTATATAACCTGCACCTGGTAGGTCCTAGATAGTATTAAAACCAGAAGGGTTCAAAAGATGTAGCCCAAGACGATACAGCCCATCTTTGCCAATTCCTCTTTATTCACAATAAAGAGAATTCAGAGTTTGCTACAAGGCTGAATTTTTTTAGTGTACACAGAGCAGCAAAGCGCAGCGAGCACGCCACCAGATGACAAAAAACCCGCGTCCCGATCTTGGTTTTTGCCACAATCTCTGCAACTGTGGGGAAATCACACAATCTTTCTGGGCATCGGTTAGCGCAGAACAAGGGAGCTGCTGTGACGGATCCCAAGGTATCCTTTCCCAAATTTCCCTGGACAGGTAATCCAACACCCGTCCACCCGCTAATGCGGACGCACGCAAACTTTTACGTTTCCCAAAGCAGACATTTCCATTTAGTAGTGAAAACTAAGTCCCCACAGGAAAAAGCAGGGTTGAAAGGAAAGTGGTGTCCCTGGACCCCAAAGCAAGGGGCAGTCCACTGAGGTTCCCGGCTCCTCACATGCAGACTCCCCAGAGAGTGGCTCGGATCCCAGGAGCCAGCCGGGGTGACTCCGTCCGCGCCCGTGCCGGTGCCCCGCGCCCCCTTACGCCGCATGTTCCCGGGTCACGGCCCGATCAGCTCTCACCGGCCCCACGGACGCTGTTTTCTCCCGGCAAGGCCCCGCCGTCGCCCAGCAAGCCGCCCTTCTGAGCCCCGGAGCCACCTCAACGCAGCTGTCTGGGCCACAGGCCGGCGGGACTGGCAGCGTGAGGGGCGTCGGCGGAGGGTTTAAGTGCTGAATCACCACTTTGCAACCCGAGCTCCAAACCATCGTGACCCGCGGGCCCCAAGGGCCCGGGCGCCGTGCTCCGCTTACCCACAGAGGCGCTCCAGAGGCGTCAGACGGGAGCCAAGGACCGAGCGGAAGGTGCTGGGCAAAGCGGGATGCAGCAGCCACGCTAGCAGGTACCGCATACCCCAGCGCAGCCGCCGGGATCACGGCGAACGACCGCTTCCTTCTAGCGTGAGCCGGCCTGGCCCACTGCGCATGCTCAGTCCGCTGAGCCGCGCCGCGGCCGCCTCCGCCTCCGGGGAGCTACCGAGTGGCTGCAGCTCCGGGTTTTGCCAGGCGCCCGATTGGGCGGGGACGGCCAGCGTCCCAGGCCTGACAGACGGGTTGGATAAAGTCTGGCCGGGCTCGGGAACCCAGCAACCAGGCTTTTCCAAGTGGGGAGGGTCCCGGCTTAACCTACCCCAGCACAGGAGGGCGGCGACAAGTATCTGACTGGGTGTATGTGGAGGCTAGGGGGCTTACCTGTACTGTGAAGGCACGAGGGGCCCTGTTGGTGGAGGCACCCCCATTGGCTGTCACCACGGCCTCTGTGCAGGTGTTGGAACGAGGTCCACAGACCGGGCTGCCTCTCTGAACTAGGAATCATGTGTCTGAGAGGCCCGTGGGCTCCCTCTAGAGTATGGTGGGGACGTGGACCGATAGCAAGGGGTCAGTGTTGGAGGGTTGTGGGGGAGTTAAACCACCTGGGTCCGCCAGTGGGAGGCCTGGATCCTGTGTGAAGATTCTGTCCCGGCGAAGCTAACTGCCCTTCAAAGAGCGAGATGGATGAGGGACAGGCCATGGCAAAACAAGGCTTTTGTGGACTTTAAATTCAGAGCAGAAACTACTCTTGTCTCCTATTAGAAAACAAACCACATATGCATGTAGTACTACAACTATGATCAGTGTACTTCAGTCATTATTTGTAAAACCAGACTTTCCCCCCCCCCCCCGATGGTATTTTGCATCCGGGAACAACCTAATTAATAACTTATGGATCTGACTTTGTATTACATTATTTTACGGGGGTCTTTATGGAAGAGTGCGATTAGGGATGGTGATTCCCTTGCTTAAGTGCTTTTAGGTTTCTGATGTTGTAGACAGCAGACTGCAGCCAAAAACAGTGCTTTGAATCCTATTATTTGTACAGATGGGAATTAGGGAGAGGATTTCTTAATCAAGTGGTCGCTTCATCAAAGAGGTAGACGGGGTCTTTTTCACAATAGGGTTTCAGTTAAAGTTGAACCTTGGATGGAGGAAAACTGAGGTACTGAAAATGAAGCACAAGGTAAAATTCCACCATATTACATTCTAGCCCCTGTGTTAGTTTCTTGTGGCTGCCATAACAAATTACCACAAACACAGTGGCTTAAAACAACAGAAATTTATTGTCTCACTATCTGGAAGCCAGAAGCCTGAAACCAAGATGTTGGCAGGGCCACACTCCCCACAGGGACTTGGGGAGAAACCCTTCTTTACCTCTTCCTGCTTCTGATAGATGCCAATTTCCCTGACTTGTGGCCATATTGCACCAATCTCTGTCTCCATCTTCACATTGTCTTCTCTTCCGCATATCTTTTCTTCTTTTATAAGGATATTTGTCATTGGATGTAGGGCCCAACCAGGTAATCCAGGATGATCTCATCTCGTTCTTAACTTTATTATGTCTGCAAAGACCCTTTTTCCAAATAATGTAACACAGGCTTTTGGGATTAGAATTTGGACATATTTGGGGGGAGCCACCATTCAACCCACTAACTACCCCACCTTTCCAGCTTCTACCCCCACCCTCTACTAACTCCAATCCACTAGCTGTTACAGTTAGTTAATTAATGATTACAACAATCCCGACTTGTCAGTGCTCTTGCAACTTTAAAGCTCTATCGAAATGGATTGGTTCTGCCTTTGCAGAACTTTTCCTTATTTCATATAGTCCTCACATAACCCATTGGAAGTAACCACTCTCTGATCTCAACTGCCAGAGTAGTTTGTCACTCAAAAGGTGCTTATTTGGGTCTTAACCTTCCACACTTGTAAGAAGCAGTAGACTAGGAATGATGTTTTAGTTATTTTTGTATCTCACCTGGCAGCAAACAGAGTGCTTAGTTAATGCTTGTCAAATACATGTTTACTTAATCTGATTAAGCCTGTGGATGTAACTACCATTTATAGGAAATACAGGGAACAATAGTTAAATCATATTTTAAGGATATAATTGGCAAAAAACTAGAATGTTTGGAACACTATTGGACAAATGACCCTATTTTTTGGACAAATAAATTACAAAATAAAAAAGAAATCAGAAGCCTATGGATTAAAGGGGACTTGGAATTGATAAGCTATGACAAGGTGTTTATAAAATTTTATATTTATGAAAAGGGCCAGCAAGACCCAAGCCAATCTGGAAGAAGAATCTGGACCACTTACACTACCAAATAATAAGTTACTATTAAGTTATAATAGTAGAAATTATATTATCATGGCCTGAGGGCAAACAAGTGGGTTGTGTTAAACTGTTTGGTAGAATCTGTTAAGGTTGCATATAAGCATATACTATGGCCCAGCAATCCCACTTCTAGCTATGTATCCAACAGAACTAGGATGGTAACAGCAGCAAAATTAAAAACAATCCCAAACTGGAAATAATCCAAATGCCTATCAGAAGCAAAATGCACAGGAAAAATAATCTGGGGAATATTCATACAACAGAAACTGCACAATGAAAATGAACAAACAAAAATTATACTCACAATGTGGGTTCATCTCACAAATATGGTGGAAAAAACCATACCCTAAGGAGTATGTACCATATGAGTGAGTTTGTATATAGCTGAAAACCAGGCAAAATAAATCTATAGTATTAGAAGTCAGGTTAGTGGGTTACCCCGGGGGTGGCAGTGACTAGAAAGGAGAATAAGTGGGGAGCTTGTGGGATATTTTACGTGTGCATGTTCAGTTTTTGAAACTTAATTGAGCTGCACACTTGTGATTTATTTATTTCTATATTTGTAATACTTCAATAAAATCTTCCAAATAAAGATAAACTTCAAAAATGCAAAACAACAAAAGATAGAGACATATTAACCAAATGAAATAAATGTTCAGTTCCTGTTTGAAACTTGTTTTGAACAAACCCATTGTGAAAAAGAAACTTGAGCCCTGACTGGTGTAACTCAGTGGATTGAGCACAGGCTATGAACCAAAGGGTCAGGGTTCGATTCCCAGTCAGGGCATATGCCTGGGTTGCGGGCCGGTCCCCAGTGGGGGTCATGTGAGAGGCAACCACACATTGATGTTTCTCTCCCTCTCTTTCTCCTTCCCTTCCCTCTCTCTAAAAAATAAATAAGTAAAATATTTTTTAAATAAAGAAGAAACTTGAGATCCCTGACCAGTGTGGCTAAGTTGATTGGGCATCTTCTCGTGAAGTGAAAGTTTGCCTGTTTGATTCCCAGTCAGGACACAGACCTGGGTTGCAGGTTCAGTCCCTGGTTGGGCCACATGAGAGAAGCAACCAATAGGCATTTCTCTCACATTGATGCTTCTCTCCCTCTCTCCTTCCCTTTCCCTCTTTAAAAATAAACAAATATTTAAAAAAATAAAAAGAAACACGAGTCAATCAGAAAAGAGCAGTGACTAGATATTCGATGATATTTTATGTTAACTTTGGGGGTATGTTAGTGGCTGTGTTTTTTTATTTTTTAAGAGTCCTTTGAATATATGCTGAAATAATATGATTCCTAGGATTTAATTCAGAGTAATTCAATGGAAGATGAGGAAAGAGAGGAAGGATAGAGAAAACAATATTGGCCATGAACTGATAATTATTGAAATTAGATAATGGATGCCTGGAGGATTTATGATTCTAGTCTCTATGCTTTTGTATATGTTTGAAATTTTCCATGATTAAAAGTTTTATAATGTTTGCTAGTTTTAAGTATAGCACCAGGGAATAAAATATAATACCTAAAAGCAACATGAATTTTTCAGAATGTTTATGTGATTAATTAATTATAAATTGTTTAAAATTTCCCTAAATGACTCATACTTGCTAGTCCTTTAAGGTAAGTTTGAGGTAGTTTATGGACAGTACTTGAACTATTGATGTAAAAATCTATAATTAATATTTTCCACAGTTAAGTTTACTCTTGATTTGTTCATTCGAAAAATATGGGCCCCGGCCTTGCTTTAGATGTTGAGGCTACACCAGAGAAAAGAGCAACCAGCTTTGTATTCTTTTGGGGTTTACACCACACAGAAAGAGAGGAACAAGTAAATTAATACTTACACATAAGTGATTACATAATGTAATTAAAATAATACTAAGGTAACCAGGGTGGGTTTTCCTGCTGTCCAGCTTCACCCCAGGGACTTTCTGTCCATTGTCACTACTGGTCCTCTAGTTGGGGAAGATGGCAGAGATCTCACCAGTTGTATTAAGGGAGCTTATGCATGTCCTGGGCTGTTGACAACAGGAGTGTGTACATTGGACAATTTAGGTGGAAGCTCAGAGCATAGGGCTGAATATTGGAGCTGCATAGACAGTTATCAATGGAGAGCCAACCTCTTTGGCCCTTCTCATGGGCTAACTCTCTGCCAGATCCTCTCCTGGGTTTCCCCTCCCTCAATCTTTTTAATTTTTTTTTTTTTTTTGGTAATGGCCCCTGACCTCCATCAGCTTCTCCCTCCTACATCACTTTCTCTCCATCCAATGTCCCAGACAGGAGTTTTTCAACTAGAATTTGAAAGTTGTGGCGGGAGATCATCTGCTTCTTCTGTCACTGTCTTGTCTTGGGCTTTTCTTAGGATCTTCCTTTAAGAAACTGGTTTGATCTGGCTGGTACAGCTCAGTGGATTGAGCACGGGCCTGTGAACCAGAGGATCGCGCTTCAATTCCCAGTCAGGGCACATGCCTGGGTTGCAAGTTAGTTTCCTGCAGGGGATGCACTAGAGGCAACCATACATTGATGTTTCTCTCCCTCTCTCCTTCCCCTCTAAAGATAAATAAATAAAATTAAAAAAAAAAAGAAACTGGAGCCCTGGCTGGTGTAGCTGGCTGGTGTAGCTCAGTGGATTGAGCACAGGCCTGCGAACCAGAGGATCGCGGTTCAATTCCCAGTCAGGGCACATGCCTGGGTTGCAGGCCAGTTCCCTGCAGGCCAGTTCCCAGCAGGGGACACACTAGAGGCAACCATACATTGATGTTTCTCTCCCTCTCTCCTTCCCTTC